TGTTACCCCAACAAATTCAATAAAAAGAAAAAAAATAAAGTTAAAAAAAAAAAGAAACTATTTTATCCTACCATGGCGACAGGCTAACTAGTATTAACATTTTATTCTAGAATATTTTATTCTATTATAGAATAAAATGTTAATATGTTTTAAAATATAACTCAAAATAAGGCTTAAAGATGTATTTTGTTATTTAAAAGGGGACTGTTATACATTATGGAACTATTGTAATTAGTTCAAAAGGGACTGAAAATACTCCTAAATGCTAAGAATCACGCACTGAAAATTACCAGAAATCTTGTAGAAATCTACTAAGAATAGTTAACAAATTAGTCATTTAAAAGATGATTGTACATATGTTGCAGATGAAGATTTGGACCAATCTAGAAAATTAATTTGATACAGGACAAAGAGGTAATTCCAAAAAGACATTTAATTGTACTAGTGGTATAATCAGTGTAGCATGAGGAAATAAATAGAGCAAATCTACCAGTGTGTATCCAGTACTGTATGTATTAAAAAAAGATCGATCTGGTATATTTTAGTCACTACAGTGTTCAAATCACATGCTGTGGTATAGAAAGAGTTCATCTTTAATCTTTCCCATATTTGATAAAATGTCCCTTTGTTCTTACCATTGTTCACTAACGATGTTTTGACCTGGTTTCCCGTTAGTTGATACTAAGAAGAGAAGCCCAGATTGCAAGTATTAATATTTCATTCACTGTAAACATAAAATAAAGACTCCTATCTCTCTAACAGATGGCATGTTAGTTCCTAAGAGCCCTGCCCCATCAACACTGAGCAAACTAGAGAAAATAAAATTTCTGACTTTGCAAAGCTGAAATTTTTACAGAGCTAAGTAATTTCTTTTTTTAAAATCAACAATATTTTTAAAAGATTTTTTCATTTATTTTTAGAGAGAAGGGAAGGGAGGGAAAAAGAGAAGGGAAGAAACATCAATGTGTGGTTGCCTCTCACATGCCCCCTACAAGGGACCTGGCCTGCAACCCAGGCACGTGCCCTAACTGGGAATTGAACCCATGAACCTCTGGTTCACAGGCTGGCACTCAATTCACTGAGCTATACCAGTCAGGATGAGCTAGGTAATTTCTTAATAGGCATATATTAGTACTGAACTGAATACATTTTGGTTTAAAAAATTTTTTACTGCCTTTATGAAGTTACAGTTTAACTCACTAAACATACCATGGGCTGTAACTTAAATACAGGGTGTAATAACAATAATGGTAATGCTCAAATACTATCGAACATTTAGTTAAGATTCATTATAAATAAATAGGCACTGAAATTTTACATATTTTAACCTGTTTAATCCTTTCAACAACCTATATGCAGATACTATTATAATCTCCACTTTACAGATGGATAAACTGAGGCGAAGGGCTCCATATCACATGTGTGAAGTGGTGTAGCTAGGATTAAATCCAGGATATCTGGCTCCAAAGTCAGCATTTTTAATACCATTTGCTTTTACTATTCAATTTTCTGAATTTTAAGCATCTCATTTTCCAAAACAGTTTTGAAATTCCACATATATCATAGCAAAAATGTTTCCCAAATCCCCATGATTGAGCTGTTAAACTGGAAATGGTATACCTATTCATTTAACCATGGTTTCTATCAGTTTTAATGTGCATAAGCATCAAATTATGCAACTTGAAGTTAATGCAAAATTAATCAGAAAAAATATATAAACAATTGTTTCAAAATTTATGTTCATTTTCAACATATACTAACTTCAGTTGTTAAGTTACATATATATATAATTTAACATACATCTATTAGTCATAGTTTTAGCCCTTGCTGATGTGGCTCAGTAGATCGAGTACCAGCCTGTGAACTGAAAGGTGGTCGGTTTGATTGCCCATCAGGGCACGTGCCTGGGCTGCAGGTCAGGTATCTCTCACACACTGCTGTTTGTCTCCCTCCCTTCCCGTCTCTCTAAAATAAATAAATAGAATCTTTAAAAATAAATAAAATTAGTCACAGTTTTCAATTAGTAGAATTAGATATTATTCTAAAAGCAAAGACATTGTGGCTTTTGAAGAAAAAATTTAATTTTAGCCTTTCTGACTAGTGACTCAAACTGACTCAAATCACTTACAGGCTAATTTCAAATCCCTGGCTCTCTAGCTTAAAACCCATAACTTATTTTATGGACTAGTCAGTCATTCTATAAGCTAAACTATATTTAATCTCATATCATATAAAATAGTATTTAATTTGTGCTTTCCTATTTTGCTCAATTTAATGAAGTGAACAACTGAACTGCTATATTTCAAACTTTCCCTTTTTTTTCTTTTCACCCTGATATTAGATTAAAAGAAAAAGCGCTTCTCATAAGGTAGTCTTTTGTCATACTAGTAATGTTCTTATTTTTTTTTATCTGGGTGCTTGTTATAGGGTATGTTTAACTAACAAAAATTCATCAGGTTGCATACACTTTTTCTACATGTATATTACATACTTCAATAAAAAGCTGGCTGGTTTTTTTTACAAAAATCACGCTTCTTGACACCACTTCAAAAAAACCCATTACATACCAACCTTACTGGAAGCTGTCACTGTTTTTATCACACGGTTCTCTACAACACCCAATTTGCATGTTTAGCACGTGGGAGAAAAAGAGCCATGCAAGATATTCTACAGAACCAAAAAGTGCTACTTAATTCTTTCACAAGTCCCCAAGATCTAATGATCTCAAAAGGAAAGAAAACCTTTCTTTTTTAGCTTCTAGGTGCTTATTTTACTGTCACAGCAACCTTACCAGATGCTATGGTATGTCATAGATGAAATGACACACTTGTGGCGGACTGTTTTCCAAAGACAGCACAACAATACATATCCCATCCCTACTGTTTGTTTTTTTTATGAGACAATGAAGCTCCTATTGCACACTGAGAGATGAGTCTGTTTCCTCTTCCTAAAACCATGTAGTTTTATATCAGCCTTGAGCAAGGAAATGTGACAGAAGTGACGCTGCATGACTTTCAAGGTTAGGACATAAAAACAATACTGTTTCCACCTGGCTTTCTCACTTTCTCTGAGATGCCTGTTCTTGAAACCTGCCACCACACTGTGAGGAGGTGTTCTGCTCACTCTCCCAGTGACATCTTCAACCAACAAGCAGCATCAACTACCAGACCTGGGTGACCCAGCCTTGTCCAGAGGATTCCAGCCCCAACCTCCCAGTCTTCCAGTGAGGCCCTAGACAGCATGGAGCAGAGACAAGTCCCACCGTGCCCTGTCTGAATTCCTGATGCACAGAAACCATGAGATAATAAATAATTATGGCTGAAGACACTAGACTTCCGAGGTAACTGGTTATGCTGCAATAGAAAACTAACACTTTATGAGTATGGGACACAGGTAGGTAACCATGCTAGCAACTGGCAAAGCCAGAATTGAAATCTATGTCAGTCTATGTATAAAGCCCAAACTCCTTCTATCATAGGATATTACCAAGTTTGTTCAGCGGTGCCCATATTTCCAAATAAAGCAATAGTCTACAGATTAAAAAGCTGAAGAGCAATAAGCCCCCCAAATTAATGATTTCAATTAATACTCAGGGCAATAGGTCATTTGATTAGCAACCTCAAAATCCCAGGATCATTTTTGACACATCTACACCCTTCACACTCTAATAACAGCATATCTGATAGTGCCCATATGCTAGACACGCAGAAGAACTATCTCTCCATCAATAACAATAAAGCTGGCCATTTATAAAACACTTTATAAAGCACTTTAACAATAATCACTAATTTGATCTCCAGAAAACACCTCTATGAGACAAGTAAAGCAGGCATCACACAGGGGAGACTCAGAAAAGTTAAAAACAGCTACAATAACATAGTTAAGTAAGAATTCTATTTCAGATTTTCTGACTTCAAGTCAAGTGCTTTTGTCAACTCAGTTCAACTCAACTCTAAAGAACATTTATGGTGTATGTGTTTCTATATACAACATCGTTTTCTACAATTATTTATAAAGTCCCTACTTTGTGTAAAGCATCATGGCAGACACTGTCTCTCTAATTTGTGCTCTCCACTTCTGGGATCAGTCCAAAAACATCTCTGATATAGCTAATGTCTATAATGAAGCCAGTCTTTCCCCACTTGGACCCATTCCGTACATTGCCAACTGACTTTTCCTAACCCACTTCCTTAATCACAATATTCAAACACGGTCAAAGGTGACATCTTACCCATACAGGCCACATTTCCTGATCTGCTTTCAAGGTCTTCTATAATCTGATCCCAGTTTATTTAATTAAACTCATTTCCCTGCGTTTATTGAGATAAAACTAATTAATCTCTTCCTTCTTCCTTAAATTCACTTTCTTTGCATCTTCTTGCCCTCCCTCTCATTCATTCTATGGTCCAAATCTGAAAGTGATGCTCAAGTATCACCCTCAACTTCTGACAGAGAGTCCCTTCCCTCCCAGGTCTTAACTTCTACTGGAGAGCTACACTGAACAATCCAAAGCAATACATAATAATTGATTTGGGCAGTAGAGATTGTAGCTTATAGGAATCTAGAAAAGAATCACTAAGGATGGCTGGCAGGAATGCCTTTAGGTAGAAGGGAGCACTTGCAATGGGCTGACTGACACATAGGATTCGAACTGGCAGAAAGTAAAAGCAACCCAAACAGGCACAACCTACAAGCCTTCCCTTCCGCCCCATTTCTTCCCATTTACAGTTTACTTAATCCTCCAGCCATTACCGGCTCCTTCAAAAAGCCTTTCTTAGTTACTTTACCATCTAATCTAAGCTTTCTTCTCTGAGCTTCTAATATAATCTAAAAAAACACATTAGTCATTCCATATTAAAAATCTCATCTCTACAACTGGACAGCAGTATGTCTGTACATAGTAAGCATTCAATATTTGCTAAGATAAACTCAATTCAATAGCCACTGTTGCTTTTAGTCACTTAAAAATCCATTGATCATAACACTGTTTCTTAACTTACCGGGCATCTCCTTTGGAAAGATTAGTATTTACAGGATTAAGAATAACCTTGTTTGCATCTACATCCACCACACATTTGGTATGCAAGTCAATTTCTGCAGATAAAAACAAAAAGGAAAAATAGTCATTTTAAAGTAATTTATTTCAGAAAAAGCATTTGACAAAAATCCAACACTCTTTCATGAGAAACACACTCAACAAACTAGGAATAGAAGGAAACTTCCTCAACCTGACAAAGAGCATCTACAAGAAACTGCAGCTAACACTGCACTTAATGGTGAAAGGCTGCACGGCTTACCCTCTAACAACAGGAATAAGGCAAGGATGTCTACTACTGCTATTCAATATTACACTGGAAGTGCTGGTCAGGGCAGTTAGGCAAGAAAAACAAATCGAAAGCATCCAGATTGGAGTGAAGTAAAAGTATCGCTGTTAGCAGATGATATGATCTTGTGTACAGGAAATCCTAAGAACTCCACTAAAAGACTACTGGAATAAGTAAGTTCTGCAAGGTGGAAGAATACAAGATCAAAATACAAAAATCAGTAGTGTTTCTATACACCAGCAATGAAAAATCCAGAAATAAAGTTAAGAAAACAATTCCATTTATAATAACATCAAAAAGATTTAAATGCTAAAGGAAATTTTTAAAAGAAGTATAAGACATATACACTGAAAATTCTAAAACACTGTTCAGAGAAATAAAGACAAAAAACTGGGAAGACAGTTATGTTCATGAATTGATAGACTTAATACCATTAAGATGGTAATAATCCCCAAATTGGTCTAGAAGATTCAAGACAATCCCTATCAAAATCGCAGCTGGCTTTCCCCCACCAAAAAAGTAACAAGCTGATCCTAAAATCTCTATGAAAATGCATGAGATCCAGAATAGCCAAAACAACCTTGAAAAAGAAAAGCAAAGTAGAAAGGCTTTATTCAATTTCGAATAGGCTTTATTCAATTTGTAGTAAGTTCAATTTCGAACTTACTACAAAACTGTAGTAATCAAGACAATGTGATACTAACATAAGGATTGAAGGACAGACAGATCAATGGAACAGAGACTCCAGAAATATACTGTCACATTTACAGCCAAATGACTTTGACAATGGTGTCGAGACAATCCAATGGTGAAAGTATAGTCTCTTCAACAAGTGGTGCTGGTATAACTGGATATCCACGTGCAAAAGAATGTAGTCAGACCCCTCCCTAATACCACACACAAAAATTAACTCCAACAGATCACAGACATAAATGTATAAGCACTAAAACTATAAAAGTCTTTGAAGAAAGCATAAAGGTAAAGCCACATAACTTGCAGTTAGGTAATGGTTCTTAGACACCAAAAGCACAAGAAACAAAAGAAAAAACAGATAAATTGGACCACATCAAAATGAAAAATGTCTGTGCTTCCTGATATGTACCAAGAGAGTAAAAAGATAACCCTCCCACACAACAAAAAAAAAGACAACCTACACAATCAAGAAACTATCTGTAAATCATATATCTAATAGGGAATTGCATTGGAAAATAGAAAGAACTCTTGCAACTCAATAATAAAAAAAAATCTAATTTTTAAATGGGCAAAAGATCTAATAGATGTCTCTTCAGAAAAGATACAACAATGGCCAATAAGCACAAAAAAAGATGCTCAACATCATTAGACACTAGGGAAATGCAAGTCAAAACCACAATGAGATAGCACTTCACACCAATAACAAAACTATAATAAAAAAGACAGAAAGTAACAAGTATTGGCAAGAATGTGGAAAAATTGGGACCTTCACATATTACTGGTGGAAATGTAAAATGGTGCAGTCACTTTGGAGAACAGTCTGACAGTTCCTCAGAAGTTAAACACAGTGTTAGCATAGGACCCAGCAATACCCACAGGATCTGGCAATGTCTCAAAAGTTAAACATAGAGTTAGCATAAGACCCAGCAATTCCCACTCCTAGATATATATCCAAGGGAAATGATAACCCTTGTCCACACAGAAGTTTGTAAATGAATGTTCACAACAGTATTATATGTCTATTCATAATAGCCCAAAAGCGGAAAAACCCCACTGTCCATCAACTAATCAATGGGTAAAAGTAGGTAGCCATAAAAGGGAACATTATGTGGCAACTAAAAGAAATAAGTACTGATACATACTATTACATGGATGTAGCCTGTGCTAAGAAGCCAGTAACAAGAGACCATCTATCATATGATTCTACTTATTCCAAATGTCTAAAATAGGCAAATAGAGACAGAAAATATACTCGTTATTGCCAAGGATTTGGGAGTGACTGCCAGTAGATATGGCTTTCTGTTTGGGGTAATGACTCTGCACTGAAACTGATTATGCTGACATTTGCACACTTGGAATAAGCATAATAAAAACCACTGAATTGGTTGATTGTGTAATATGTAAATTATATCTCAACAAAGCTTTTTAAAAAAAAACATATAGGCCATGTTTATGTTCTCATATTGTTATAGTCTTACATTTTTCTGACCCGAAGTATGAAACTGTTTCTGTCTGCCTTATCCCCACTACCCAAAGACATTATCTAAGAAAGGAGCTGTACTCCACTGGAGTCATTATGTATTTCCCAAAGAACCTGGGCCACATGTCATACTACCAGTATAACTTGAAAGTACTTCCACTGCTAGGAAATGTCACTTCTTTCTGTTGTTGCAGTTTTAAACTTATATAAATGAGACAAATACCAAAAAAAAAAATTCCCCTCTTACGCCTGCCACAACTCAACTTTTGTTGTATCAGTTATTCTACATTGGTTCTCAAAGATATAACCTAAAAGTACAAAAAAAGAAATCAGTAGTCTTTTTTTTTTAGCCAGTACATTTTTCTGGCAAAGAGAACTGAAAGGGAAGCATCACAGCTGTTTTACTTAGGTGTGGAAGACTAATCATCAAAACGATGTATATTCCACTATAGTCAGCTACCATAAAGTCTAATGCTTTGTGTTTAAATCCTCTCTAGACTGTACCAGAAATGCAGCAAGAAAGTCTCAGCCACACTGCAAAAACTTTTCAAACACAATTTTACTTCCTCCTTTCCCTTAGGCCCAGAGCTCAACAAACGGTATTGGCTGGCCCCTTACAGTCAAACCTGTATTATAACAAACGCATTATCAACTCTCCGGAAACTATACTGTGACTCAATCTATCTCACCATTCACCACAATGTTGGTTATTAGTTTCTTGCAAGAACATTTGGTCTGAGCAGAGGAGCTGCATGTATAGTTCTGTATACGTAAATACACATCTAGAGTGCATGCCTGAAAAACCACAAATCAAGTACTGTCCCCCAAGTAGTGTTTTGCCTTCATTTCAAATGATCTGGAATTGAGGAGAAATCCAAACATTTTTTCTTCAATATTTGTATGCTTTTCCCCTGTCCTTTTCATAGATCTTTTCTCCTCCCTTTCATGACTTCATCAGATACAACTAATAACGAGTAAGTATGAAATGACATAAAAAAGGGTCCCAGCTAGTGTAGCTCAGTGAATTGAGCACCAGCCTGTGAACCAAAGGGTTGCCGGTTCAATTCCCAGTCAGGGCACATACCTGGGTTGCGGGCCAGGTCCCCAGTAGGAGGCACGCGAGAAGCAACCATACATTCATGTTTCTTTCCCTTTCTGTCTCCCTCCCTCTAAAAATAAACGGACAAAATCTTTAAAAAAAGAAAAATTTTTTAAAAATTATATGAAAAAGGAACCAATCCATGGAAAACCCTATATAATACAAATAATTGCCTAGTAAGTAATATATCCAACCTAAAGTCATTTTGCCCTCAAGAATGCAATACTTGCACTGGCTAGCATGTTTCAGTTGGTTGGAGCCTCATCCCATAAAGCAAAGAGTCACAGGTTCCATTCTTGGTCAGGGCACTTGCCTGGGTTGTGGGTTCTGTACCCATCTGAGGCGAGTACTTCAGTAACCAATCACTGTTTTTCTCCCCCTTTCTTTCCCTCCTGTTTCCCTTTCTCTCCCTCCTCTCCCCCCCCTCTCTAAAACAATAATCATGTCCTCAAGTGAGGATATTTTTTAAAAAGTGCAATACTTGTAAGTGTTCCTGTATCTAACTTACATCAAAGGTGGCCTTTAAAATGTAAACAACTATCTTCACTGCTTTATTAGCTCAATTTTAATTACCAAACAGAATCCCCACCCCAGCTCTGTTGATTGATACACAGATATTGAGAAGGCTTTTCACGAAACTGTTTAGAATATGGGTGGAATATCCAGGACACACACCCAAGCAAACAAATGAGTTAGATTTGAAGAGGGTTTTTTAAGGCTCAGGTGTATGACAAACATTTTAACACAAAATGCTACAGTTAGTGTACCATCAAATGCTACTAGTTGGTTGGATTAAATTATACCACTACAAGATTCTAAATATGACACTCTCTCCATGAAAAACTTCTTGTTCTACATGGCTAATCACAAGCAAAGCAGTGATTAAGCAGCAGTAAAAAATTTAGGTCTTAAATTTAATCTGAATTTTTAAAAAACAATTTTAATAAAACACCAAACTCCAAAAGATAAGCATCTTTCTCTTCATTTGGAACAATACTTAGATTAAAAAGATAAGGATTAGCTGCTATTCACTGCCTTTACAAAAATAGCAGTGAAGTACACCCACGTTCATATCCTCATTATTCACAACAGTCAAAGGTGGAAGCAACCCAACTGAATACTGATGAATAAATGGTAAACAAAATGTGGTATATACATTTAACAGACTATCATTCAACCTTAAAAGAGAACAAAATTCTGCTAAGACACAGATGGACCTTGAAGACATTATGCTAAGTGTAACAAGCAATCACAAAAGGACAAACACTGGATGAGCCCACTTGTATGTGGTGCCCAGAGCAGTCAGAGTCAGAGGTAGAAAGCTGGATGCCAGGGTCCACGCTGAAGGGGCAATGGGGAGTTAATGGGTCACTGTACGGAGTTGTCAGTTTTGCCCGATAAAAAAGTTCTAGAGATGAAAAGTGGTGACAGCTGCACAACAATGTGAGTGAACTTAATGCCACTGAACTGTACACTTAAAAATGGTTTAAGAAGCTTA